GTCTGCATTTTGCAGCACAGTCACTCCTCCTGCACCGACTGCTTTGGCAGGTTTTAAAGGGTGGTGCCTCCACAATGGTACCTTTAATAGGGTTGAAATGTTGTGTAATTAGGAAATGCTGTTTTAGCATTTACTTTATATCCTAGGTTGAGGACATGTGACCTGCAGAAAGTGACAAAACTTTGAATGTGCAATATATCTGTTATTGCTCTACATTATTTATTGGTTCTGTTTTTCAATTCAATTTAATTCAATAATAATTTGCCATCTACCCAATGAGTCTGATCGTCAACCTTAAAGCTTGTGGCAATGGGAAAATGTATACTTAAACTTAAACATGGCTATCTGTATAAGGAAATCCTGGCAGCTTTCCCCTTTGAGTTCTCTGACCCGTTGCCAATATGGCATAACAATGGAACCAATCTAACCAGTAACGCATTTGTTGAATGACTAATCAGAACTCAAAGGTATCTCGACAACCAACTAGAGTTATATGCACTTATGTTTACGCAATGGTTATAAAACAAAAATTAAGTTCCTTTAAAGATAATAATTAACAATATGGTAATTCCATTTCCATGTAAATACATAATAAAATTTGATAATTTCTTTCATGTATTAAATTGCATGAAGGTATTGATTGAATTGCATGATTCACAACTAGGGCTGGGTATTTTCGCCAAAGTCCTGAATCGATTCGATTCTGATTCATACAGTTCTAAATCGATTAATTTCGATTCGATCTGTTTTTACAATAATGAAAGTGGTTCAACTGTGTTTCAAAATCATGTATTTTATTTTTTCCTGTCATATTAAACACAAAGTGCACATTTGTAAATCAGACAGTTTAAACACAAGATGTGAACTAAACTGTCTCAAAAGTGCAAACTTGTTTGTGAAAAGTGAAAAAGTGAAGCCTCACTTGAGCAAACAGATGTGAAACAGTAGACATGCATGAGCTGCATTATCTCCACTGCACAAACCATATGTGCAGCGTTGTCTGTAACAGCTACAGGGTGTTTTCTGGTTAGCCCCCATTTGTTAATATCTTCAGTCAACCTATTGGCTATATTTGCAGCTGTCTGGCTGGAAGTAATCTTGAGTGCATCTTTCCTGCTTATTTGAATGTGAACGTCACGCGGGTCACTATAAAATGAATCGATCTCATTCCCTAGACATCGATTTTGCAAAAATGTAAAGGAATCGATTCAAAATCGATTAAATCGATTTTTTTACCCAGCCCTATTCACAACCCAATCTTTGCACATTTTGTCATCAACTATTTTGAATGTATTTTATGGGTATTATATGTATTAAACCAACACAAAGCAGAGCAAGAAAAGGTTTTCAAAACTTTTTTTTTCCATCAAAAGAGCCAAAATGTTGGTTTTCAGCCCTTTACTCTGATAAATCAAAACAAAATACTGCACAACCACCTGCATTTGGCAGTTATCTCTTAGGTAAAATAGTTGACTTGTGTGTTTGAAGTAATCTAAATTTAAATCCAGATCTTCTGAGAAAACTGCAGATGTTCTCTAGAGAACATTATAACCGGCATCATGAAGACCAATAACCACAGCAGACAGATGTGGAATAAAGTTTTAGGGATGTTTAAAGTTTAATTCGGGTTTCAAAACTAGATAGGCACAACTGGAAACTAACCCAGAGATACCAATCACCTTAAATGACAAAATGGATAAATAAATTGTTTATTAGAGGTAAATCAAAGAGAAGGAGCATCAGAAGACACCACTGTGTAGCATAGGTGGTACCACCATATGAAACAGTGAAGCCGGTATGAGAAGATGGGAAGATGAACGGGGCTAATATGGGAAGGAAACCTATGCAAGGTTGCAAGAGACCTCAGAGTGGGAGTTAGATCGCAGCAAGATAATCAGCCTAAACAAATACAGTGCTACAATGGAACGGTTTAGATCAAAGGAGTTTGATGGGTCACAATGATATAATCAAAGTCCAGATCAGAATTCAATCAGGAGTCCGTGCCATGACTCAGAAATTGTTAATTATAGATGCTCTCCAAAATTTGTGTCTAAACTTATGTAATTGTAATTTTGGTAAGCCTGTTTTGTTGTTGTGGACCAGTTACTGCACCAAAACAGTTTTACATAACGATTAGTTGCAGTTTTGTACAAATGCAAACAACTATTTTTAGGATTTTATCTGAAGAGAGGTTTGGATAAAACATCCTTCATTTTAAGCAGACTTAAGACTTATTAGTTTGAGTTTGGTCCAATCCATAAAATCCTATTCAAATATTTAGTTTTAACAAAGCAAACCGTAAATATTAGACATTTGTATACACGAGTGTAAACAAAAAGAAATTTCGTTTAGAACAGCTAAAGACAATTTCATATTTTAAAGTACAGGCTTGAAAAAAGTAATAAAAACATAACAAAATAGTAATATAAAAATATGACTGTATATTTACAGTTATAACATTATTTTCTTTCTTGTTTAGGGAAGATAGGCTAAACTGTATTTTTGGAGATTTATTCATTGTTATTATAAGCATATAATAGCCAATAATTACACTATAGATCATTGTAGTGCCACAAAACCTGTAGCACACATAGATAGCCTCATCTAGTTCATACTACAACTCTTACTTTGGGAAAATGTGCTAAACTCAGTTTTTTTGTATATTTCATTATTATTATAAGCTGGCCAGGTGTGCAATCTCTGCAACAGGAACCACAGCACTGAGCGTTGTGTGCACTGCACAAAGTATACCTGTCACAAATGCAGGAAGGACTCACCTTGGGTTTGTAAAATATAAATGTTACTCTTTTACTTTTACTTTTTTTTTATAAATAAAATAACCCATTTTAAATAACATTTAGCACTCAAGATTCAATTCAACATTCAAGTCAAGCATATTGTTCAAGAGGTGTGAATAATTTTGACAGGTAATATATATATATATATATATATATATATATATATATATATATATAAGATCATTTGGGTGGTTTTAATGAGATTAAAGGTAAATGATTCTGTAATTGTTACCAATGTAAAGTGCAGATACATCATTTAAAATTTTAATTTGTTTAAATATGGAATTTGAATGTTAGATAATTAATTAGAAATGACCTCCTCCACCGTCCAGAAAGAGGCCTGTGCCTGTTTGTACATCTTCCAGATATCCGGATACTGGATGGGAAACAAGACAAACCGCCTGGGATTCTCCCGGAGAAGAGGTTCGTCCTCGGCGTTGATACCAGCTTCATGGCCCCGATAATCTCCTTCGAAACCGTTCTGAAAAGATTCACTCAAGTTTTCATTGCTTTCCTGTGTAATTTACAACAATGTTCTTTAATTAAAAAACCTTACGCGCATGCGCACTGAGTCAAAACAAAGAAGACGTTGAAGTCTCCCCAACAGACGTTATTGTCCAAATATCCTTTTAAATGCTTACAAAACACTTCTTAACATTTATTTTCATTGAACTGTAGCTATAATTTAGCTTTAACCTCAGAGTTTAATCAGACAATAAATAAACCCACACTAAACGAAAGGTGAACATAGGCGGATATAAATAAAAATCATTTTTTTTTTACACTCGCGCCTCACAAAAACCTAACATCTTGAACGAATTTAAATAAGTGCTGTTCCTCATGAAGCCTTTAATCATTAAATGTCACCACGCTAAAAATAAAGACGACGTAGCAAACGGTTTACAGATATTTTATATATAGTTAGCAGCTATATGTTTAAGTTCCCGTTTACCTGAGAGGAGGACTTCTTTACAGTCGGCGTCATGTTTCAGGAATAAGGCTTTTGTTGCTATCTGGAGCTCGTTTCCATAACCAGAAATGAAAAGGCTTGTAATGTCGCTTTAAATGTGCCATACGGTGCACCACAGCGCCCCTGGCGGTCAGATACGGGACATGTGACGTAACAATCATCTTCATAATATGTAACATATTATGAAACTACTTGTAAGCCAATTACTAAATCCAACATGGGCATTTACTGTTTTATTCTGACTTTATGTCACGTTTCAAGTTTCCTGTTACCCCTAAAGAATATGCTGTTGTGTTTGACGCAATCCTTAGTGGGTTATTTAAGCTATTATCATCTTTACCCACATGTCAAATTTACTGTTTTGATCCAAACTCCATTTATGTTGATTGTGAATGTGCTTTTATAAGTAAGACTACAACCAACAAAAGGTTAAGAAATTTTCTATTATGAGATGTTTTTTCACCAGCTTGTATATTTTATTGGTTCAACACTTTTGAAAATTTAGAATTTCAAAGTGGACTTGGTAGCTCCTTAAAAATATACAAAAATAAAGAGAGAAATTTCTTATAAAATTATTCATAATGTTTATCCTGTTAAAGCATTTTTTAAATAAAAAGATCTAAATAGAATAAATAGAATAAATGATAAATAAATACATATAAATGGGATTTGGACCCAATGTGTATTTTTTGTAACAATAATGAAGAAAAGTCAACTTTTTTGGGAATTTGTAATTATACCAAAATATTCTGGAGTAATATGTCAAAAAAATCTTAACATTACTTTAACAGATAAGGATGTTTTGTTTGGGATGGAGAAATAAGAACTTCTCAAAACAGAATTTTTGTTATTTTTTTCTATTTATGGTAAATGCAAATCATATTCACACCTCCAAATATTTACAACAAAAACCTAATTTCCAGATTTTCTTATCTTCTATTAATATCTACATAGAATCCTTAAACTTTTTGCTCAAATGCTAAAGCCATGCAAATTATAATTGCCCTTAAAGAATTATAACCCTTGAGCATATATTTGATTTTGACATTTTAAAATAATAGTTCTGTTCTCTAAAGCCCTTTGTTGTTGTATGTTTTTAATTTATAATGTTCTATATGGCTAATGTATGTTCTTTTTTTGCAATAAAAAATAAATAAAAAACATATAGTGAAACTTTCAAAAAAATAAAACAAATTTAGATACGAAAATGAAAAAACAACTTTTATATTGTCTTTTTTTTATTTAATTTGACAGGAATGTTACTTTTCATAGCAGCCAAACAACAATGATAGCATTTTTACTGATTAAACTTTACATACAGATTTCTATTTAAATCGAAGATCGAGAACAAAGTGAACTTAGAACAGTTTTTTATTATGGATGAGGGATCTAGATCATTAAACCGGTATATTGTGCACCCCCAAACGAAACACATCATTTGTGCAAGCCCATCCACCGTTTTGGGATTTCAGCATAAACACCTGATGAAAGGCCATTGGTGGATCATCGTCTGCCTGTTCCAAGACAAAGAGAGATTATTCAATTTAAATAATCAATGTTCAACCTCATTAAATACAAGCAAGAATAGTTCAAAAAGGTCTTCTAAATGACAGCTGCATCACTAGAACAGATTAATAAATTATAAAAGGTATTGCAAGTGAAAGACAGAAAAATTGTATTTTTCCATCAAAGAAAGACATTAAAATTATTAATCTCTTGTATCAAGATTTTCTGGTCAAGATAATAAGCAAAAGACACAATGCAAAACATATCAGCAAACCATTACATTTTTTGTTGAAAAACTAAAACTTTAACATTTAAAAGTATACATCTTCTCATGGTATAAGACAATATGTACAGAACTTGCTATTTAAGATGAAAGCTAACTAAAACTTCAGACAACTTTTCTAAGACCGAAGAAAGAAAAGCGAGATTCCAGGAGTAAGGGAGTGGAGTAAGATGGCAGTTGACCTAAAATGGGAGATTTTAAGTTAGCATAAAACCTACTTTATAAATCTATACCAATGCTGCATTACACAGTTACTGGGTAAGGTAGATCTGGTGAGGGTTAGCCTATTATATAGCGTAAAACAGTGTGGCAAATAGGATCCAGCTCAGATAAGGTAGTGGGATAAGAAAATCAATGAATGGTGTCTCAATAATCCAGCTGTGATTAAAACAAGCTGGTTACAGCAGATTCTGAAATGGATAGATTTGGACTTTGAATATACCACTGTAACACATCAATATAACACGTTTAAATAACAATGCATTTATATCTTGTTTACATTTACATTTTTGTTCTGATGAATCCCTACCCAGGTCTCATTTTTTGCAGTCTCTAAGACGTTTTCTTCTGGGTTTACCAAAAGGTCCGACTATTTTCACAACAGTTCTGACCACTTTCCCTGTTGCTGCTAAAGAAGGCCATATCCACAGATTGCTGCTGACACCACATTTTATCCTAGGAACAGTCCGTTCAGGTAGATGTGCAGCATTAATTCACTGATGGGAAACGACATTTATATGTACTAGAAAAAGGTTTCTTCGTATGACCAGAAAACCTTTCATGTTCGTATTACCGGTATGTCCCTTACATGGCTTATGGCAGACTGTAAACACGACTCTGCTTGGTTACTTTCAACAGTTAAATTCACGAGGAGTCAAAAAGTTACACCGCTGACAGATTCTTCTATCTGAGCTCATGAACCTGCAGCTCCCTCAGGTTTACCAAGTACTTCTTAGATGCATCCCTCAATAAAAATTACATGAATATACAATGGAGCTAAATTGTGGCCATAACGTTTATTTAAAAAACAAACATACAAAAATAAACCCTGAAACTAGAAAAGAAGTTTGTTAAAAAAAAAGTATAGACCTGAAAAAAACAACTACTAATAAATAATGTTCAGATTCATTTTTGGAAACTTGTGGATCAAACAGGAAAAAGAAAGTCATGAACATCTGGTTTGTCAAAGTAAAACAATGGCCGATCAGTAACTACTAATTAGAGCATAATTTTTAGATAGTCTGGGTGTCAGCCTCGATAGCACCCTATCCTTTCAATCCCGTATCAAAAACTTTACCCAGTCTGTCTACTTCCACTGAAGAAGCATCAGCCGTCTACATCCCTCCCTTACTCCAGACACTGCAGCCATACTTGACTACAGGCTCATCACGTCCCGACTGGAATCTTGTAACGCTCTCCTCTTTGGCCTTCCTCAGAAATCATTTCAATAACTACAACTGGTCCAGAACTCGGCTGCTCTCCTTAGAACAAGAATTTCCTCTATCCACCGCAGCATCCTGGTCCTCGGACAGCTCCACTGGCTAACCTGTGCCGTTCCGTTTTCAATATAAAATTCTCATGTTGACATTCAAGGTCCTTCACCACCTTGCCCCTCTATATCTGTCAGGCCTCCTGCATGTTCCCACCCCCTCCCGTGCTCTCAGATCCTCATCTGCTTTACACCTGTCTGTCCGTCCACGCGTCTCATCACCATGGGGGGCAGAGCATGCAGCCGCTGTTCCACCCGTCTCTGGAGCTCTCTACTACCTCTACTTAGAAATACTTACCCACTTCTCCATTTCAAATCACAACTCAAAGCTCATCTGTTTAAAATGTCCTATTCTCTTGGCACTTCAGCAAACCAGCAAGCACATATGTCATCTCGATCAAAATATTTATTCGATTCTGAAAGGCTTAAATTTTTCTTCAAATCCAGTCATAGCTTCCAAGAGAGCATCTCACAACTTCAAAAGAAAATGTGCTGATTTTGGAAGTACAGAACAAACCAATTTGGTATGATTCCAGTTATCCTTTTTACAAAAACCAAAAATAAAAAAAAATAAAAAACGATTAGGCAGAAATGGCATGTGTGCTGGATGCTGAGTTTTAATTATGTCATATTAAATTACCGTCTTTTCCGCACTATAAGGCACACCTTTAATGAATTGACTATCTTAACATTTTCATATATAAAATGCACTGCACTATAAGGTGCACTACAGTAGTGGCTGGAGTAGCATTATAAATCCACTAGATGCAGCTGCGCTAAAGAGAATGTCAATAAAGAGAGAGTCAGACCCAGCCTACCCATTTTACAATTATGCATAGATTAACTTTTATAGCTGAGTTACCTTTAACTGTCCAAAGACCATGATGAGGATGCAACTATCGATAGTTGGTTGGAAGTCTTGCTTTGTAATGATGTGCTTGATCATCTTGAAAGGTAGGCTCTGTCAATAAAGACAAGACTATTTAAATATCAGATACTAAAAAATATAGAATCATTTGCTATTGATAATGCAGAAAGATAAGAAGAGATGTTGGTGAGTGCAAACCTAGAAATGGTCAGCTCAGTATGTGCACAAACATGAGGATTCAAATGGCTAAAGGAAAATAAAGCTATTGACAGACTAGAAAGGAAACATACTGTACGGCTATAGATTAAAATTCACATCAACACTATTATTAAAAAATACTCACTGCTAGCTTGTTGGCAATCGCTTCTTTCCCTTGAAACGCCGATCCTTCCCATGTTAGACAAGCATTAGGTGACTGAAGGGTTAAAAAAAAGACATAAGGTATTCAAAATACTAGGTTATATGGTGTAAAACTGCATAAGATGTAGTTATAACCAATGAGAATTAGACTGTAAAGCTTACATAGAGATTAGCAATCGCCATCCTGTTAGTATTGTCAAACTGGTTGTAATATTCCTGAACAAAGCCTTCTCCAATCTTTTGCCATATTTCACCCGCCATGTTTGAGACTTGGGATCTGTGAAAACAGAGCAAGTTAAAAATAAAGCCGTTGGTTGTAATTAAAAAAGGAGATTTACTTTACATTTATGAATACATGCTCGTGTGATCGACTGTAGTGTCCCCCAGTCGTCAATACCAAGTCAAAAGCGATTACTCTTTTGTGTAAACAATAGTCACATAGAATCTGGTACATCAAAAATGGCATTATTGGCAGAAGATATAAATATTTTCGCTCTGATGGATGGTTTATGGAAATTCAAACATACATTCACATATATGTATATTTAAAACTAGCAGGAAGAACTGATCAGATCTAGTAGAAACTAATATTTTTTTATTCCAGTACTGCAAAACATAATTCAGAAGATAAAATATACTAGGGAAGACACACATCAGGCTTCATGTGCTTTTCAGTACTGAGTAACGAAAAATGAACTTATTTTGAATTACTACCATGATTTTATCCCCTCCATTTAATGCACAAATTTGCATTCAAGATTTTAAAATGTGAAAAAGGAAAGGATATAAAAAGTTTTGAAATGTGCTATACATAACCTGCATCTTTAAAGCCAAAGCAGTTAAATCATATTTACATATATTACAAGTAAACAATAAATTGCAACAATAAAAATAGTTTATATTTCTCAGAGATTAGCTAATCTGAGGTGAACAAGATAGCGCAGGTTGGGCTAAGTTTACTAGTTGCTAGCAGCAGCATGGGTAAGGGCCTGCTTCTTTTTCAAGAAAACTTCATTCTCAATTTTCCCTTTAAACTTTTCCTTTTTTTAAGCTCACCCCAGTGTAAATAAGGTCACTACAAGGTTAAAAAGGAAATGAGAGAGGGAACGTGATACGGTTATAGTAAGTTTACCTTACTTTTCTCAACGGAAGACAAATCAACGTGATGAAGTTAACTGAAATAAAAGTTCTGTTCCCGCTTCCTGACTAGGTCACGACGTCATTACAAATTGACCAATCACAGCTTCGAAGGAACGTCAAAATTTTTTTCTGTGGGTTCACTCGTTTCTGTCTGCGGCGTACCAGATGGCTGCAAGTGAAAGTTGTGCAGGACGAAAAAGCGGAGCGTTTTTTACAATTGTAGGTTTCAGATTAAAACAGATAGTTATGATGACCTTATTTTAAGTTCTTTTTTTATTATTTACCATCCTAGTTTCACTTTACTCGAATTTAATTTACATTTTTAAGATGGTTTTGAGTAATTTATATTTTTTTAGATTTAACAATTTTGAACTAAGACAACAAGATAAGGTTACATTTTCCAATAGTATTAAATTTAAAACACTGAGGCATAAGATCTACATTGTCAAAGGTCAAAATGTCTGTTGTTCCCTGTAAGAACACAGATGTCAGATATCTGTAATAATCAGTCTAAAATTGTAGTTTTTATGGATATTTGCATCTTAGAGTCTCATTTTCATGATTTGAAACATCCATCCGTTCATCTTCTTACACACTTAATCCCAAGTGGGGTCGCAAGGGGTGCTGGTGCCTATCTCCAGCTGTCTACAGGCGAGAGGCGGGGTACACCCTGGACACCTGGACTGGCGAGGGTACACCCTCGCCAGTCCATCACAGGGCAACACAGAGACAAACAGAACAAACAACCATTCACGCACACACTCACACCTAAGGAGACTCTAGAGAAGCCAATTAACCTAACAGTCATGTTTTTTGGCTGTGGGAGGAAGCCGGAGTACCCTGAGAGAACCTACGCTCCATGCAGAAAGACCCTGGGCCAGGAATCTAACCCAGATCCTTCTTGCTGCAAGGCAGCAGGGCTACCCACTGTACTGCTCCTGATTTGAAACAAATAATAAAAAATTCCTGTAATTTTAATAACATAATAATTTGATGTTCTTCTAGATATCTAAAATTGTTTTTTAGCAGACAGAATTAATATGTGAATAGGGGGGAGTCGAAGTTGAAGTGATGAAAAATTGTTGTTTGACTATTTTTTATAAAAAAAAAAAAGGTTACAAAAACCTTTATGTTAAAACAAAGAAGAGGGCCTTGGAACTATATGTTATGCTATTGATTAAGGATCGTTATATATGTAGATAAAATATGCGCGCAAACATCTCATTTTAAATTTGAAGCATTTAAAGCAAATATGCAAGTTTTATCAATTATTTTTAGTGCATGGCATCAAACCAAGCTCAATACATTTAAAGTGGGTATATACATCTTTTGAGCTAACAATAGATTTGATTTGACACAGATGTATAAAAAAAAGGATTGGAGAACCAGTCTTAAAGCTAGCAAAAATTCAACCCTTTGTTTTTATTTAATCTAATCAAGAATAAAAGCAGGATTCAACACTGAAATCAAAGTAAAAAGGATATGGGCTATTTATCTATATTTTGGGTTTGCTAACTAACTATATGTGCTCTCTTTCCTCCCTTTTGGCATTGAAAACCAACTGAGAACTCATCCACTTAATTGTTCATTTCATAGACCGAACCAGTTATAGAATCTACCTTTATGTTACCTTTTCTAACATTGGAAGTTTTAATGAATCAGTGTCCCTATATGTTTCTTTTTAAGTCTACCTCTCTGGTTTTATCCCCAGTCACCGTTAGGAGAAGGCCGCTCACACTACTCCAAAAATGTTAAAAAGGCTTTATAGAGTGGACTAAAAACAAAGCCTTGTTTTGGTTTAGAAAACATGCAAATTGAACTGGACGAACGGGTTCGTCCCTTAGGAATGGGGGGTCGTTTGGGTTCTTTGTTAGCCTGCAATACCAGATACCTGTCTATGTCTCTGAAAGGGGACATTAGAGGAAATTGTTGGCCTGCTAAATAGGCGAGGTGTTCTGTGGGTGGAGGTTGTGATTATTCTGGGAAGGAGTCAACTCTTTCACTGCATTGCAGGTTTTTGAGCGCTGTTTAAGGTCGGTTTTCTTTCTTAACATAAATGGCTTCCTTCACACCCCTCACAGTTACAGGAAGAGTTTGATTGCAGTGATTGCCTCAAAGCGTGATGTTGACAGTACTATCACTTTTGCCTAAGACTATTACGTTATTTTTAAAATCATTTGGTTGAAGCATGATTGAAAAGCAGTCTTACTTTAAATGAAATATTTTTATAGAATTTTATTTACCGGTATTACTTTTGTCAGATTCAAGTTATTTCTGTGACCATCATGGATTTTTCTTTTACTAAACAAGGAATACCAACAATTTAGTCCACATGTGTATACCGGTAGTATTGAAGAAAAAGCATTCCGCTCTAATTCACCCTTTCATTTCATTAAATTGGAAGCTTTTCCAAAAGTGAATGTTATTTTAAGCATCTCCAAAAGAGGAACACAAAAATAAATTACCAATAAGTTTTTATTTTTTATTATCAGGGCCAGGTAGATGATCTTCTCAAAGTTCACTTTGAACAGAAGAAATGTAATTCATAATTCTTCAGTTTAATGGAGAGCAATTCACTTTCCCCCCCAGGTAAATCGTATACCTTCTCAATACCAGACAGGATATTTGGAACAGCCGTTTAAGGCCGTGTGCTTTAGAGGAAAAAGTCATCAGCATAAAGTCACACAGTTTCAATGTAAGAGCCAAAAACATTGAACTAAGCACACACCCCTGTCTAATTCATCTACAAAGCCATAGTGGGCAGCGTTTCATTTGTAGCGATTCAAGCAGTGGGATTTTTATACAATAGTTTAATCCATTAGATCATGTCCCAGTAAAAATCTTCTAGTACTGCAAAGAGGTTTGCCAATTTAACTTACAATTCAACAATTCAATAGCTAAGTAATGCATTTTAGCACAACTAATAACACTAGGCAAGCCCCTAAAGGCAGTAAAAGATTTTCTAACTGGAACAAACCTGCTCTGATCAGATTATACATGTTTTTTTTGGCACCATATAAAGTTTATTGGCTAGTTTTTTGGGAAAGTGTTTAGAATTGAATAAATAAATGGTATTTAAGACGAGATTTTCCCATATCTTTACGTTTTTTTTTAAAGAGTTTATTTGGTAGAGTCCTGCATGGTTTAACATTTCTCATACGTACATGTTCGAACTTAAATTGTTCATAAAACCTATTGCCTAACCCATCTAGACCTGGATATTTGCCATTTTTTATGTCAACAGCTCTACTCATTTCTTCCTAGGTGATATTGGCATTAAGCCGCCTTTTTTATCTCTGCTTCTGTCTCCTTGAACCCCAGTCAGCCTCGGCAGATTGCCGCTCACACTGAGCCTAATTCTGCTGGAGGTTTCTTCCTGTTGAAAGGGAGTTTTTCCTCTCCACTGTCACTACAAGCATGCTTATTGCGAGCGATTGCCTTCCAGTCCATGAGTCGATGAAATCAACTGGTTTTCCTTAGATAGAAAACTTTGAATCAATTTGACTGTATGATCTGGTGAACTGTAAAGTGCCTTGAGATGACATGTGTTGTGAATTGGCTCTATATAAATAAACTGAATTGAATTAAGAACCTTGTGATTAATTTTAATACAGGGAGCTTACCTGACAACTGTGGCTAATATTCTTTCAATGGAGTCTCAGTTTGCTCAGACAGTTGAAACCTTAATGCTTGCAGCTTAAACCAATGAACAGATCTTAAATCTTGTGGCTACACATATATTTGACAGCAAAAAAGAATGAATTAACATGAGATCATCTGACTTGAATACATTTTATTGGTTATTAAAAAAATTAAACCAAAGTCAACATGTAAAAAGGAGACCTGCACCAACTATTTTGGCAAAAAAAAAATTATATATATATTTATTAAATATAATGGGCACATCATATCATGCTGAGATGAAATAAAACTTTCCTGTAGTGATAAATCACAGTTAGTGGCACAAAGCCTTTAGTTACAAGTGTGGCAAAAGAACGTAAAACCAACCACTTGTCCTTGCGCCTGTGCTTTGATCTATAAAAAAAGGTGCTATTAAAGTTGTAGCCCCATGTCAGTGAAGCAACTATTATCCACAGCCAGGTAGATAAGGCTAGAAACAAAGCAGATATTTTGAAATGGAAGACATTAAATGCTTAATTGGGTAACAGCAGTATTGCTGAGGGACAGGCCATTAGTCCTAAATAAATACAGATTAGTTCAGCGTGCAGATCTGTACAAACACCAGTAACGTTTTTTTTTCTTTTGTAGAAAAAGAGGCTGGGATCAATTTCTGTCCTTTTGATCGTATGTACCGTCTTTACCATTAAACAAGGAGGATACCCTCTCTCCTCCTGTCTTGTTAAAGTTGAACCATCTTATCGTATTTTCTTCACAAACCTGGAACACATCAGACCCCTGTAGGCACTTATAAAAAAAAATATGTTGCTACAGTTCAGTGTTTGTCGCTGCCTCAAACAAAATGACCTAAAGCTGTGGTAAATTGCAGTACGACTTCCTGTGAGGTGTTCAGGAAAAGCTACTATTGCTTCTTGAGGCCACTTGCACTGATAGATCCTCCTCAGAGGGATGGCAGTTGTCAGTATAGTTTCACATAACAGGCCTCTGAGGTTAGAACCAGGCTTTGATTGGACAGTTCTGTCACTGGTCTGGCTGTGAGGAGAAATAGTCATCAGTTCGGAACACGCTGGGGACCTCTTGGCGTTGATGTGGGGCTGGTCTTCGTGGGCTGGCCTGCTTCTACAAGCAAATAATTAATAGTGAATGATCCGTTTTAGAGCACACAGCACCATGATATTCTATAAAAAAAAAACAGTCTAACCGAATAAAACAAAAGACCAAAATTCACCACTATGTTACCAAATTCTTACATTTAGGAAACCTGGGGCAGTCATAGTTCGAAGGATCTTCTTGAAAGCACTCGGTAGCGTTCCGAGTTCTGCCTCTGCCTGCGTGACCTGCTCCTCCATTGCACTGACGTTTGCACCAACCATCTTAACAAAGGCCTGCAAATACACAACAGTAAGAAGATTAACTTCAGAATCCAGAAAACAAAACAAAACAGTACTAATGCTTAGGCTACATTCCCTTAGCCTGGAGGTTTAAATTTTACTTCAAATCAAGTCGACTACTGACGGAAATATAACCTAACAATTCAACTACATTGTATGCATTAAAGTAATACAGCCATATTCCCCAAAAAATGTATGAGATCTAAACAGTTGGTTGTGTAAAATAAAGAGTTGATCAGCGATCATGATTTTGCAGGTTCTTCTAAGCTCTCAGAGAAGGTCAAATCTGCAGTGGGTAAAATAAGTTGAACTTATCACCATTTTTCTATGTAAATGCATTTTAATATATCAGTGACATGAAACTGTAAATAGAAAAAAGCCAGTTCACATCTGTAAAGGTATCAAACCCCAGTTGTATAACAAAAAGGGAAGACAAGGAAAAAAATATCAGCTCACTCTGCAAAACTCCACTGCTGAAGACAAAGCATCTTAAGGCACATTTAAAGATTTGTGAAAGAGGTTCAGAAGAAGGGAAAACCAAAACCAAACCCTTAGAATGCAATAATCCCCACAATGTTTAGAGAATACGGAAGAGGATTCTTTCTAAGAATTCTGACTGAATTCTGACAATAAAAAAAGTCAGAATTCTTAGATTAAAGTCAGAATTTTGAGATTAAAGTCAGAATTTTGAGATTAAAGTCAGAATTCTGAGATTAAAGTCAGAATTTTGAGATTAAAGTCAGAATTTTGAGATTAAAGTCAGAATTTTGAGATTAAAGTCAGAATTCTGACTTTAATCTCAGAATTCAACAGGGGATGAATGGTCAAATCTACTAGTATATTCTTGATAGGAGATATTTAATTAATTTTATGAAGTACAAAATATAATAATACCTCTTCCAGGTGTTTAATTAATTATATTTCACATAATCTATGAACTTGTGTGGTTTGGATTTGGAGTGGATGAGTTGTTATAGAAATATGGGGAGAATTGAATGTGAATTGCAGCTTTAGAAATGAGGAAAATTGGAAAGTGATGGTGTGTTCACTGCTTATGCTAACTAGTATATTAAGCCCTTTCTGAGAGCTCACAAAGTTTATGTCATGTTTCCAGCCTTGTGCACATCCAATTTGAAAACATGCTTCATTTAAATTGCATGGACAGCAAATTACTGGAATCTTATTATTAAGAGAAGATTTTAATAACAAGAAGACAAGTCAAACAATGACTTTAATCAGGGTTCCTACAGCATAAGGCAAGTTAAATTCAAGACTTTTTAAGACTTTTTAATGCCACTTGAAATAAAAATTTAAGACCAAATTCACAAGAAACACAAGAAAAACTTGCTTGCGACAACTTAACCCAAAGGTTTATTTTAACATAAATCACTGCACTAATGTTTCAAATTTTGAAAAGCTTCCCATACAGGAAGAAAGCTAAAAACACACAACTGACAGATATATTTTAACAATTATTTAACTGAATTCACAAACTTTGTTTTAGCAGGGAACAAAACAAATCAGTTTTAAAGCCACAACAAAACCAGTGCTAAGTCTTTTTTGCAGCTATTTTACTTTGTATCGTTTTCTTAGTATGTCTGATTTGGTGATAAGTGGAGGCGTTGCAGATACAAGGGTGGAACAAAACTGAGAAATACCTGCTGTTTCTCGGTAACTCGATTTTGACGCTTTGTGTTTCGCGCTTCGCATGTGACTCCACTGCCTTAATTCCCATCGTTCCAAGCTTGAATCGCTTCTTGCACAAAATACACTGTGCCTCATGTATGTTCCCTGGTTTTAGCCATGGAGAAAACTCTTGGCTGGATAGCCAATTTTCGTTACATTTACACTTGCTCATATTTCTCAGACAAAAAGTTAATGGCGCATCTCCCAAATGTCCCAGCTGCAACAACGCTTTTATTGGTTCCGCTATCAGGATGGAGCCAATAATGGCGAGCCATTATTTTTTCTAAATAAAAAAAAAATTGAACATTATAATGTTTTATTTAGATTACAAAAATAAATCGTTATAAAAATGATCCTATTTATGATTTTTTTTTTAATTAACACCTACGAAAGACTGATTTAAGACATTTTAATACCAATTAAGGCCTTAGTTTTATTTTGAAGAATTCAATGCCTTTTAAGACTTTTTAAGGACCCGTGGGAACCCTGGTTAATTTGACTCGTCTTCTTGCATCTAATGAATAATCATGTGAACTGTATTCATGTTTATAATTCTTATCCAATCAGAACTCATATGCCTACTTGTTGCCAGGTAGAGAAGGAGACAATCAGCTCTGTAACCTGATGCCCTCAGTATGTAGCTCATGCAGTAGGTTGAGTCACATATGTTTGGCACATAAAACAGATTCTATGTGACCTTTGATTAGTCAACTATACCTACTTTTCAGGTCTAATAGCATTGTTGTAAAATTGACTAAACCAAAGACAAACAGGAAACGAATGATTGATTCAATCAAACTTTAGTGAATAAAAGGGTGAACAAGCATACAGAGTTGAAGAGGAAGAAAAAAAAAAATTTCCCCACAAAGCCGCGCTTAAAGCTGCAACTTTTTCTCAGAAATTCTTCTGCTTCTCATGCATTATGGGATATATAGTCTCTTCTATTTAAAGGGTCTTCAAACATAGTTCATTTTAAACCAGATATTAACATTAACTTAAAATAGCAGCCCATATTAAATCTTGGTTGAACCCAAAACAAATCCTCAACAAGCAATAACATGGGGGAAATATTACTGGCCAAAACATGATTATGTTACATGTTTATTGAAAAATACTTGGGTATACTAGGCTAAGTATTGATTGTATAATAAATAAATCTACTGCCATCATTTCTGCACAGACCAAACCATGATCTAAGGCAAAGTACTTTTAAATCAGAAAAAATGTTGGCATGATCCTTGAAATGTCAACTTACCTCCAACTTATCAATTCTTCTGTATATTTGCCTCATCTCATCGGCTTTGTGTTGTATTTTTGGTAGATTTTCATTCACGATTTGGGAGGTATCATTGCGAATCTAGGGGGATAATAAAACATAACAGACATTCAAATGGGTGCTAATCTACTTCAGGTGTTTCAGAGACCTCTCATGCTTACCATATCAAGCATCCCGACAAACTCGTCAACTCTTGTCAGCATTTCCTCCAAGCTTTTCTCCAGGCACAGAATCTAGAAGATAAATCGTTTGAAGAGAATGAACTGTAATGTAAATCTAAAAAATAAGCAAAGCCATAAGTTGAATACCGGTATTTAGGTTTTCAAAAGCCGATTCTGATATCTATATTTATATATCAGAGAGTTGATTATCTTTATTCATCCATAACTTATCTTCTATCAATGTAGCTCTGATGATATATTAAAATGAAGGTTTAGCATAACTTGCTTCACACCTTCAATGTCTTCTTCGCCACAACAACCATCTGCCCCAGACAGTGATCCCCTTCTGGCTACCGGCTAAGAATACTGAGTAGGGGTGTGGGAAAAAAAATACATTTTGTGATTAATCATAATATCGATCTTTCAGTTCCTAGTCATGTCAATAGGGCCTCGAGAGAACAATGGTGGGGTTTATATTGACCTTACTCACCTTTGATGCCAATTAGCAAACATTAGAAGAAGGAACTGGCAAAACTAATTAACCTGTATATATTATTTGGCAGATATCCCATTCATAAAAGTAAATTTAATTTTACTAAACCTTTACTCGCATTAGATACTGAAATAAAGAAGTACATACAATCTGCAAATCAGGTCAACAATAAACAAACTAATCCTCCATTGTCACACATATACCGGAAACTGATCCCTTCATTTAAATCAAATACCAAATTAATCTCAAACCTTTAAGCCCTCACAACATTGCTTTTGCAAATCTACTTCCTTTTATTTACTGTATACTTGAAATTACATTAATATGAATGTCGCTTCTTCTATAAATATTGTATATATATTTTCCTGTATATTATGTATATATAATTTCTCAATAAAAAAAACCCTGAAATATGTCCCTATGGTCACATTGTTTTCAGCCCGTTCTCATTTTTTTTAATCATTCTGTTGAAGCTTGGTTGAAAAGCAATGTCTGATTTTCATTTGTAATTTTATATAGTTGGTCTGATTCAGGGCTGCACACTGCTGCAGTTGGTAGCACTGCTGCCTTGCAGCAAGAAGGGTCCTGTTTCGATTACCTGCCCGGGGTCTCTCTGCATGGAGTTTGCATGATGACCCCGTGCATGTGTGGTTTCCTTCCAGGTACTCTGGCTTCCTCCCACAGTCCAAAAACATGACTGTTAGGTTAACTGGCTTCTCTAACTTCTCAATAGGTGTGAGTGTGTGTGCGAGTGGTTGTTTGTCCTGTTTGTCTCCGTGTTTCCCTGAGATGGACTGTCAACCTGTCCAGGGTGTAACCCGCCTCTTTAGACACCCTATCTGAAGATAGGCACCATGGATGGATGATTCAAGCTATTTCTGGAGAGACAGCAGGTGCACATGGTGGAAGCGGTGCTGTATTTCTGTGACCATTGTGAGTTTGCCTTTCATTATACGACAATTCTTTCCACATGTATATGTATGGAATCCACAGTAGAGGGATGATGAATAAAAACTCAGAATTATGATAACACATTTAGAGTCTGATCATATTAAAAAGGACATGCAGGCAGCTTTCTGCTCATTGTTGACTGTGATACGAACTTCAATATATGGATCATTTTACAGCATGTTTTTTTTCCATAGAAGTGGCTCTAGTGGGATAGATAATGGATTTCTGATTAGGTTATAACTGCGGGGGTTGGTTGGTGGTTGGGCGCTGGCAAAGGATGTTTCTCAGGAACCCAAGTGGGGGGTTAACAGCTGTATTTAAATACTTATTTTAAGATAGTTTACTTTCAGCGGCACTGGATATAAATTAATACCATACTTTTTAGAGTTTAATTAGCAGAAAAAGCCTTAAAAATTGTGTCCACATTGTTTTGTTAAATGACTCCAACAAAACCCACTGAGGTAAGTTAGTTATAGTTTATTGTGAAACGTGCTGCAGAGTTCAAGGGAACTTAAATACTTTTGCAATATAAACTGATCAACTTCTTCTTTAAAGCTTATCTAGAAACGACGTGAAGTCTCCAATTTACACAAGGAAATTCAGGGTAAATCAAGCTGAGGACACAGCAGCCTTTGTCCATCTGTTCTCCTGTCTGAGCATAACAATCCTAGGGTCATGCCTATCCAGTTAATGTCCCATGTCAGGGGTGACAAAGCTGGAAATGATCAGCAACTCCCACACTGTGAGAGCTGTGATCACATTAATAGGTCAAGATTGTAAACAGCAAATTTCAGATAGTGGTGTTCAGAAGTGACCAACCAACAGCATGGTTATAAACAATCGTAGAAACACTAAGCTGGCTGAAGTCTCCATGTTGTGATAATCTGATAGAACAGACCTCTTCTCCTGCCGTGGCTCTGATGTAGGAGGAGTACTGGAGCGCAGTTTGTCTCAGGACTTCCTCGTCTTGCTCCGGATGGTGCAGCGGGTCGGCAGGCCCGTCCTCTGTCGCTGCCCGGTTCAGGCTCGGGCTCCTGGAAACAACATTAGCCGCGGCGGCTGCTCCGAAGCTGGGGCTCTGGGACACGGTGCCACTGCTGGAGAGCTCGCTGAGCATGGACAGGCTGCTGGCGCTCTGGGACACGATGCCGCTATCCCTGCTGATCTCCGCACTGGATTCCTCCAGAGGAGACAACAGGCCCACTCTGTCCACCCGATGGTCCATGGCTCCTGTCTTTTCTTTCTTTCTTTTCCTGATCAACAGTCGTGTTTTGCAGTGCTGTCAACTGACTGGGTCACGTGTGATACATAGTGGACGGAAGCTCGCGAAAGACAAACGATCATGTTGCGCCTGGATATCTATGGTTGCGCCTTCAATTTCTTCTTCTTCTAGATTTTTTTTGGCGGTTGACAAAAACGTTCGGTGAGTATTACCGCCACCAACTGGTAAGGAGTGCGAACCACATGAGGAAGAAAAAAAAGGCTCCAATTTCTCACACTCCATGTTAAAAAAACGCAGTATCATAATTAAAAAAACACACATAAAAAAAAGGCCCAAACCAGTCCTATATCAGAAAAAAATGTTGAATTTAAATGTCGACAATTTGTCCGCATGTGCATAGCTCTTAGCAGACAGACCCTAAAAAATGACACAATGAAAAAAAACTTGAAAATTCATTTTTTTTAATAATCAAAAACTAAGATAAATCTCACGTTAAGTTTTAATCCTTAAAAACATAACAAACAGAAAGAAAAAAAAACAGTGGCCCATATAATGTTCCCAATTTAACTTATTTTTGCTTTATCGGTTTCTAGGAAACTTAAATTAGTAATGAACAACTTTCTGTTTTCCAACGACCTTTATATAGAATTTATATATATTTAATAATAATTATTAAAAATAATTTTTTTTCCACTTAGGTTGCAACCTACTTCAGCGGGTACTACTGTGGGTACTACCATTTGGAGGCATAGCTAGAAAATATCTATAAGGATGGCCAGGCAATAACCAATGTATACTGAGGGAGGGACAATAGTGGATAGGCACCAGAACCTCAGGGTCAATCTACACTGTTCCAACAGGAACAAGCACACCTTCCATATTCCTGAATAAAGACAAACTATAATTTCCTACAGGATTTGCTAACAAATAGATGCATATATTTAAACACCCATCTAGATAAAAGCTATATTGGATAAAATTCTTTGAGGATTGAGTTCTGGAGGGAACATCTTTTCCATCATCATTACTTACCTACTTTTCTAAATATTATTCTACATTAAATTGATATTTACAAGTACTAATATCTACATAAATTTATAATTTAATAGGTTTTTCTATGATTATTTTTATCTATGGTTTCACTGAAAACTCCTAGATGACTTGCAGAGGCATATCATTTTCTCTTTATGGCATATAACACAAAATCTAGCTCTGAAAGAGCATGAATTCTATACTAATCATCTCTAATGTAGGTATATTGATGTGCATACTAAACAACAGTGTTTTTGTTGTCAAGTAATTGTTAATATATATAACATTAAAATGTTTTGAATGTTCTACTTGAGAGAAAAAAATGGTAGATGATTGGCTAAGGGTGGCCATGGCCACCTCTGGCCCCTCATCTAGCTCCACCCCTGGTAGCATTTACATCTGGGCCTACTTGAGTAAAGTACTTTTAGTAGTACTATTGTACTGTACTTCTTTTACTTGACGATTGTTGTTGAGAAGAATCTCTTCTCTGTCCACTGAGTTAATTGAGCCATTTACAGTAAACAGTGGAACTTCTTTCCACTGCTCTTAATTACATAAATGGTAAATGGCATGTACTTATATAGCGCCTTTATTCAAGTTAGGAGACTTGACCAAAGCACTTTACACTACATTCATTCACCCATTCACACACTGTTGGTGGCAAGCTACATTGTAGCCACAGCTGCCCTGGGGCTCACTGTATGGCAGCTCACTGGGGCTGCCATACACTGGCGCCACCGGGCCCTCTCACCACCATAAGTAGATGATGCAGGTGAAGTGTCTTGCCCAAGGACACAACGACACTGAAAGTCGGAGTCGGGGCTTGAACCGTCATCCCTTCGATTTCAGGGCAAACTCCTACATCAAACGCCACTGTTGCCCCATACACTGATTACAGTAATGATTGACTTTGATAGAATTATAAGTTTTATATTGAAAATTGATTTAAAGAAGTATTTCTCCTGCAGGGATTTCTTATTTCACAATCATGTAACTTGTCTGACTGCACAATTTCTAAACAATAAATACATTATGATGGTCCAACAAGTACTTAAGTGGCCCTTTTACCAAATATTTTTGAGATCTTCCTAGAGTAATTTTTTTGGATGATGACTACTTACTTTTACTTGAGTACAATCTTTAAGTATTCTCCTGTTTTTCTTTCTCAAGCAACAACTTTTCCCAGCAGCTTCAGTAAAAGGTACATTTTGCAGGGATATACAGTAGACACTCACCTCTGAAGATGTCAATGCATTTACCGCCAGCAGATGGCAGTCAGGGTAACAGCATGGCCAGCAGTGTTGGTCTTTTGTCGCCACCAACTAATAACTTATCAATACATAAACCTTTTTATCTCTAAAAAATAAAAACGATAAATGATAGCTTTCAATTGGGAAAAATTGTTTTGCACCTCAAATTAACTTCTTTCTACTTCATCATTTCAATTTTTAAACATTCTTTTAAAAAGCAATTTACAACATATGGTTATATTTAGTATGATTTAGTTATTTAAATTACCCATTTATTTTGTTGCAATTAAGTCCTAAACTTTGCAGTCTCAGAATCACCTATGTGTACTCTTCCACCGTTTATACAATGATCCTGTTTATTAGCATTTCAGCTCCCCCACTTACCCTAAAATCTGGAGAGTGGCGGCAAAGATTAACCCAACGTAAAGGATCAGTTAGCTGGTTGATTGGTGCGGCATCCTGGGTAAACACTGTGGGCAAACATTCATTAGCAGAGAGGTGAGACACTCTTTGCTGCTGCTGCAGGGCCTCAATGCTGAATAAGGCTGCATTCCTTGATGAAGGTTGCCTGCTGCCAAAACCCTGGTTATAAATGCTGCTGATGCACAACAAATGTGCGTCACCTTAAATAATTTAAATCAATTTAGCTGGAGTTCACCTAAATCTACCTTAATAAGGAGGGGAAACTACATATTTCCTATCAAAATACTTCTCCAGTGAATTTTCCACATTTCTGTCTATTTGGTGCCCAATTTTTCAATTGCAGAAGTACATCTCAGCAGTACAAGTGCAATAACCCAAGTCAACTACTTTGTAGTCTGTATAATTTTACCTTATATATATGGTCAGTACATTTCTGCAGTGCAAGTGCAATAACCCAAGTCAACTACTATGTAGTCTTCCCTTAGCTCTCTAGTGTGTAGATATTTTTTTATTAAAGGAAAACATATTCCAGGACATTACAACTTTTTTCGTTTTTATGCTCTTTTGGTAATATATACACTCTTTTTATACCGTCTGTCATATTTTGATCTTTAATGGCACTCTATATAAGCTACTGGAACCAGAATTTCCCACAAGGAGTAATCCCAAGGGTTAGATAAAAATTTAGTCTAGGTCCAAGTCTACAAAAATGTCTCCTTTCTTTTTCTATTGAAAAATAAGATGTCATGATTATTCCAGTTTGCGAATTACTGAGCCTTCTAATGTAAATACTCTGTACACCATTTTATTTGATACTATATACCACTTCTTTAATTTGTATATACTCTGATGTACCCAAAAGAGAACAATGTGGATGGACTGATGGATGAAAGTAGTAAAATTGAAGAATGAATGGATAGACAGAAATGAACAGGACACGTGGTTAGATAGACTGATGTGTGAATAGATCAACCAATCCATGAACAGGTGGGATGATAAATGGATGAATGGACTGAACATAGGGCTGAAACAATCAATTCTTTAAATAAATGGCAACTTATTTATTATTTGATTGCTAATTGGAGTAGACAGAATCTAAAACATGCCATTGTTGAGTCAGAGCAGCAATTAAGCCTAAACTACAAAATATAAATATATCACAATTTAAGATGAAAAGCCTTCAGTATCAGTCAATATGCTCTATTCAGAACTCAAGTGGCAGTTTTAGATTCAATGGAATTAAATTTTGTAAAAGGAAAAAAAAAAAAAAAAAAACTCCTAAAAGCACCCTTAGCTACCAGGTTATTAAATGATGGTAAACATAAACATTATAAAGCAAAATAACTGTTGATTACTCAACTGAATGCAGATAATGCATGAAGTTTGATGAAGGACAGATTTGCATATAGATGGATGATGTGCTAAATGATACAGATAGATTTGAGTTTGGTTCATTAACTTAAACTGCTCAGTGGAAATAAGATTTTTTTCTCAAACCTTTCAAGATACCTAATCATACTTCCATAATTTTCTTTTTTTTCCCTGCCTGTAGCCCCAAAATTACAGGCAAAGCTTGATGTAATGGTTGCAACAAAAGCAGACAATGTCCTAACTGTGTGCATCCTATGCATATAAAAAGTTCTGCTTGAAGAAACTCATTTTTATCATGTATATCCATACGTTTATCATACAGGAAATTGGTTTTAAATTAAAATATCTGACTTATCACATCTAATTTCGAAGAGAAAATAATTTATTTAAACAGATACAAAGATTTGATCACAATCATTGTTGCATAAAAGACCTAATAAAAAACAAGCTCTACAGATCATTTATAGGAATATAAGAAATATAGTTTTACTCTTTAAAAACCTCCATAAGAAACCCCACATTGGTCCCTGTGATGAGAATAAAAGTAGGTTTTAAAAGGTGGACACCAGTAGAAGATACCAGGCTGCAGGTACATTCAGAGCTCTAACCTACAGATGATTATATAAAAAGTCATTTTTTGTGATTCATATAAAGAACATACACATTTATGAACATAAGACAAACTTTAAAAATACAAGATTTATATACAGTATCATTGTTGTAAACTTCCTATTGTCTTATAAGAAACCCAGAGGCTCCACAGTTAGGATCTGACAGAGAAAGTCTGTGCTGGTGTGTATCTGACTGTTCCTGTATAGTCTCTGAGCAGCCAGGATGTTTATGCTTCCTTATCAGTAATTATTATAGGGTAATGACGGTGCCATCCTCCTCCACCCCTCCTTTGGGCAGAGTGAGGCTGTGGCGTGGGTCCGTTTTCAGAGAGCTGAGGATTTTGTGCAGGCTGCCGTTGCTGTGCCGGAGCGCTGGGTTGCTACTGTGATGAGGCGGCCGCGTGTGCAGCTCGCTGTGTTTGGACTGCTGGTTGTGTTTAAGGTTTAGGTCTCTGTGCAACTGGTGGCTCAAGCTGATGGCTGGTGGCTGCTGCTGTTGTTGTTGATGTGTGTGGTGGTGCTGGTGGTGGGACCCTCCGTTGAGACTAGTCTGGGACCGGAATGAGGTGGTGGAGACCACTGACGCAGGACGTGAGGGAGGACTCGGAGGAGCCGCTGGACCTGCCGGCATTGTTGGAGTCTGCTGTTGTGTGCGGGACACGCTGGAAGCCATCGAGGTGTTGGAACGCAGGGAAGGCCGCTTGAGGCTGCTTTCTATGACGATATCTGTATCTTCGTCGCTTTCTAGGTCATCGTGGTAACTGTGATGCACTGCGGAGGAGGCCTCGCGTGGCAAGGCCACAGACAAACTCGGATTGCCGATCGAGCCGCTGCTGTCCGACGACTGGCCTGAGCTGCCAGAGATTCTGCTGCTGCGCACCACGTTGTTCCGCTGGTTTACCGGCTTGACTGTGACGATCAGGTTGTGGCTGTTAGCAATCATCATGTCTGTGACCTGATCCAAAGACTTCCCTGTCACCTCGATGCCGTTCACCTCCAGCACCTCATCGTTAACCGCCAGCAGCCCAGTGCTCTCTGCCAAACCTCCAGGCACCATCCGGGATATGAAGATGCCCGGAACCTTCTCCAGCCCGTGAGGAGTCACGCGAACGCTGGTCCCATCCCGGATGTAGAATCCCAGGGGTTTGTCCGAGCCGTGGCGATAAAGCCGGACGCGGCGGTGGGACTCTGGGAGGATGTCCACGTCGATGATGGAAGAGACGGGACGGAAGTCCTGTGGCATGCCGATGGGGACGCGGGGACGCTTACGGTTGATGTCGCTGTTGCGCAAGGCCACCACTGCCTTCTTCCTACGGGTTAAGGTGTTGGTACCAAAGGTGGCGTAGTCAACCTCCTCTGCAAACAACAAAAAGAGGACAAAGGAATAATTATATACCATTATACACCATTATATAGCATTATACACCATTATATAGCATTATACACCATTATACACCATTAGCTGGATGGTGCACGCTTCTCAACTTGTTTTTCATAACCACTTTCCTAAATGACTCTGTAGAAGAGAACAATATCACTAAACAATAGATTTTTAAGCTGGACCACCTGACAAATTATCAGGTGAATGTAATCAACCAGTGAAGGGGGACATGAAAAATAAAATCAACAACACGTGTTTCAAAAGTGCTGGAGAGCATTCCTCTGCTGACAGAGAGGGTGATCCACCCCACTGTAACCAGTCAGCAGCTGCATGCACTCTACATACTTGCGCTCCGGCACATAGGCACATACATGCACCATCCGTCAGGCAAGCAGACCAGCTATCAGTCAGGACCCAGAAGGAATACAGGACAGTTTAACAGAATGAAAAAAGTTGTGGTAATCTGAGTTACTGCTTTGTGTTTCGCTCTGTGAAACAATAAAGGCCATCGTAGAGGACAAGATCACAGATTGAATGCTCAAGTCACTTCCTCAAGATAACAAAGTGACTGATGTAAGTAAAACAAACAAGCTTTCAGAGATGAGTCTATTCTAAAGGTTATCCAAAAGCTAAATATATATAATTTACTTGTGAGTAATGGGAACCCAAAGCTAGATGGAAAGAAAAATAGTCCTTGCACCTAAAAAACAACTTTGCATCTGTCTGATCTTCTCTTCTATCTGACAGGCAGGAAATCTGGACCTGGTAAACCAGAATCTGACAGGAAGTGAAGGTCTCCCAGCGGGAGACATCCATGAGTCACATTTGCCCTTTCTAGCTTTACTTATTTATCAAAGTTGGACTTTTCCTTTTTAATATTAACACCAGGAAATCAATTTCAGGCCCTTTATACTAACAAACAAAAAAACCCTTAGGCCAGCTTTTACTCCCCCTCATCCTCCTCTTACATTCTAGAGCAGATTAAAAAGCCCTGATGTCTTCTCCTCAACCTCTCCTTTTGGCAACTTGTCAACTAAGCAAGAATATGCCTAATGATGGAAAAATGGGGAAAAGTGTATAAAGGGTTTGAGGGAATTTGTTGCGTGCTTGTGGTGCAAGGCAGAAGCAAAAGGCAGCCTGTGGGAGTCAACAGTCTGTCCTCAAAAGGCTATGCTATTAATCTGCTGCACATTTAGTTAGAAACACAAGGTTAAACATTTGATTTTGTAGTTTAAGGTGAAAGTCTGAGACCAAGTGGAGACTAAATGTATTGTACACTCAATATATCTTATTTTATTCTTATCCTTATCTTATTTGTATGTACAATCTCATTTTTCTCTCCATTAAACGGCGTCAACCTTTAAACGTTTGCACTGAAAGAAAATAATTTACCGCAAGGGGTTAATAAAGTAATTTTGATTCTGATGTATACACTATAAAAGTGTGAAGGCATCCAAGACCAAGAAATGCAAACAGATGAGGGTGTAAAGTGGGAA